ATACACAGTGGAAGAGTAGAGGGGACAGGAAACGGAAGGGACGGAAATCTTGTAAAGTTAGCAATAAAGGATATTTCGTGTACATATAATAGAAAAAGAGGGGGAAAAAGGGGAGAGACGGGTCGACAATGCGACGTAGTGATAACGGAACGATTATTGTTTCGTCGATTATTTTCGTGGTCGGTAAACGAGAAGCAAAGTGAGGGAAGAAATTGTTGAACCACCCGGCCGAATGCGTGTATAGTCGTGTAAGAAGAATTATATCACTGTAGATATCTTAGCACCTTAGATGTGAGACTTCGAAGAGGGAACACTTGTTGCGACAACTTTCAAAGTATACTTCTTCAGAGACTGGGGGATACGCCGGGGACTCGTAGGAGTGGAGAATGGAATCACACGACTGTAAAACTAATAAATGGCTCCTTCGCCGATGAAAATTGCCCGCATCCAATGATTTTCCCACATTCCACATTCTTCCCTAGATCGCTGTAAAAGGTTACCTGTACCTTTCATTGGGTCAGATAGTTTCAGATAAATATTTTATATATTGTTGTCTACGGGTTTCTTAATAAATTAGAATTTCTTCAGTTTAATCGTTTAAATTTGCGAAGAGTGAAATTTTGCATGGAAAAATATAACAGGAAAGTTACACGATGTTTCAAATCTATTCGAAATTTATTTATTTGTTATTCGTGTTTATTTTTTAATCAGTGGTTTGAATCGATTGATGAGCAGACACTTTTCAGATAGAGAGTGCAGGAATTATTATAGAAATGAAATGCAATTTTAGAATGAATATCTACAATATAAATTTTATTCGCTCGGTTTGAATTTGTCGAAACTTAGTCGATTGACTTGATTATGACACAACATGGATTACAATTCTCTAAATTCTGAAATCGGAATAATCTAAAATTCTACCAATGCACGCGATGTACAGTGAAGAGCCTAACCAACGATGAAAAATTGTCGGCAAAACATGTTATAATTTTGTAAAGAAAAATCAACTTGATCTCATTTTAAAGCCCCTACAGAAGATTGACTATGTTGAGTTCTTTCTTTTGAAGATGTTCTTGCATTATGTAGCAAGTAGGAAAATAAAAATAAAATAAGAATAAAATAATTGAAATAAAAATACTTCTATTCTCGAAAATTCTTCCGTGACTAAACCGCTAACATTTTATAGATTTTTAACCACTTCATTGCACTTTGAATATTATGACTGAACGACAAAGATTTAAGAAATGCTAACATTTCATCATTTAATCCTAATGTTCAAAGTTTGATGAAATAATGAAAAAAATATAAAAAGTTTTAAGTTTTAAGTTTGTCGTAAATAATGGATTTCGATTTTCAAGATT